TCCATTTATGAGGACTATGCTATGTGTGGATGTAAATGTGCTATTAAAATTTGAAAATTATATTGAATTTTTATGATTAATATATTGTGAGTTTAGTAATTCATTCCATATTAAATGATGGACATTTAAAAAGGCATGAGTTGATATTTACAATTGACAACGCTACTTTGTGCTTTATTGATTTACTGTACAAAACCAGGAACATTTAAGTCCAAATAAAATGAGATTTGGCATGAAGAATCGATGGCTTTTCTTGAATAGGGGGGGGGGGGGGGGAACCCCCAATTTTTCGAGGATACCAGAGAGCCACATGACCACCATGTAAGGTACCAGAAAGGTTCCAGAGTCATCATAATAATAATAATCGACCAAACCATTATTAATTTGTGGAAACAAACTCTTAATAACTCAAATAAAATTTTATAACTTCATAGCATCATTGTCCTTTAAAATACATTAAAAAGTTCCAATTTTATTGAATTTAGTCATCATATGCTAAGTATGCAAATCGCTTCAAAATCATCGAAATAAAGAAATCTCATTAAAAAATAATGAATATTAAAAAGTATCAAGCATAAAAAAGTTCTCTCACATTAAAGCTCATATCCATTAAGTGATTTTCATCCATAAAAAGCATTACATTGCATTCTCATGAGATTACAAAGTACCCACTCCTTTTCATTACTTTATAGACATTATTGAAGAATCTGTTTGAAAAAAAAGGAAATTTTCCATTTCCAACAAACCGCATGGGTGAAAAAAAAACTTTTTGTCTTGCGTCTTAATTTGCAATGTTCAGCACAAAAAAAAATAACAAAGAGAATTGAAAGTTACCTCAACAGAAGCACAGATTGAGATGGGGAAAAAAAGTCACAAAGGAATAAGATAAGATTCATAAACTTTTATCGACTCTTCCCACTCAAATTGAGCCAATTGGCCTTTAAATTTATCAGAAAGCAGAGAAGCAGGAATAAAACATTTTGATAACATGACATGGGGACTTTAAAGTAGAAAGCAGATTTAAAAGCAATTTTTCACCAAGCTACAGCACAAAAAAATAAAGGAAAAATGTGGCAATAAATTTCCTGTAAACTCGAAAAAGCGATTGTCAGTGCTACAAACCTCCCCCTATTTGATGTTCTGGAATACATTATATTACACTAGAGTAGAAAATGTGCTAGACGAGAATTTCTAGTAAAGACTTGGTCTCTATGGATGGCAAAAGGCGTATTTTTCAGGAACAGAGCTAACATCTTACTTGGGAATCAGAGTTGTTAACCAGAAGCTGGCTTAAAGGTCTAGCAATTCTTGGATTCAAAAATTGATGTACGTCACGATTGGGGGTAAAGAAACTAGTCGTAGAGGCTTGTCATATCTAATCAACTGCGTCAATTTTGCCTTGTTTTGAAAACATGAAGCTCTGGATTTATGAAAAGTTCAGTGAACTTCTATTGACTCTTTTATAGGAACTGCCTGTGTATCTTCCTCTGTCAGATTTTGCACATATTGCAGGTCAAACCACAGTTTTACGGGTCTCAAACTCCCCTGGGTCTTCCTGCTAACCATGCCATGCTTTATTTCATAATTTGAATCCAATCTCTAATTCAGATTACTTACTAGTCACTGAGTAGTTAAGTATCAAATCAGTGATCAGCCAGACAAATTACGAACAACAAAATCACATTCCATAAAAAAAAGGCTCAAAAAACGGCGAAAAAATTCAAATGATGCTGCATAGACAGACCACAAAAACCATAATTTAGTGAAATTTTCAATAAATTGCTTCTCTTCCTTTTTCTCGTATTGAAGATAACACTTAGCATCACATCTCACTCTTGTTCTGTCTCTTCTGCTCCTCGTTCAAACTATATATTCATTTGATTGCATGAATAAAAAGAGATAACATTTTTTTTATTTTATTTTGTGCTGACACTGCAATTGAAGCTTCTTTTTATCTGTGTCTGTCTCTTATTTCTATTGTAAATCAATTTTGTGTTTAATTTTATTTCGAGGTCACATTTTCAATAGCTTAAATATTTGAAGCTCTTTTGAAGTGGATGGTCGCCTCCCACATTGTATTTATGTAATCGAGAAGAAGATGGATTTTAAAGGATGTCATGAATGTATGGTGAGAAAAAAAAAATGTTAATCGAATGATTTCGGTCTGAAATTGGATGTGAAAATAAGGGCTTTTGGGTTTTAATTGTATAGAATTACTTACTTTTGAGGATGTTCAACTGGAAAATTGACAAATCGATCATGATTGTGGTAATTAAAAACGAGAATAATTTTGAATGTGTTAATATGGAAATGATTTATTTTAATGACAGGATGGATTTATATTCATTAATTATTGGTTTCTTTGTAATAAAGTAATGACTGGGTCCTGCTGTAATGTAAAAATAAAAAATTAATGTCACATAAAAAATGAAAAATGCTTTCATTCTGGACGAAAATCTTTAACTTCTCCTACCAGCAATGGTTATGGTTAGAGCAGGGGCGTAGCCAGAAAATTTTTAAGGGGGGGGCCCATTTTCGAAAATTAAAAAAATTGTTATTTTGTATCCTTAAATCTATATTCACTCTTCATAAGTTTAAATATTTAATTCATTATTCATACATTAAATTTAATTTTTCGTGCTGATTTTGACATTTCTTTCATCACTTCCTCTACATTAACTGGTTCTTCTCTATAAATACTTAATAAAACAATTATCAGATTTTCGTAGGGGGGGCCCGGGCCCCCTATGGCCCCCCCCTGGCTACGCCCCTGGGTTAGAGGATCTAAGGACTCTTATGCTGAGTCTTTGTCTAGTTGCCTTTAAGAGCTCGTTTACTTTTGATTCTCAATTGCAAAGTGTTCAGATTTAAACCGAAAATGTGAAAATTTACACAGAATTGCTAACGACATCATAACCAAATAAAGCTCCATAACAATTCACATCCAAAATTCCTTAACATTCCTCCTCATATCTCCACATAATCCAAGTCACATCAAATGCCACCCAAAATATCCAACATTATCAACTAATTCCTTGCTTATTTTATTACACCACAATATTCACAAACGTAAGTGACCGAGACCAAAAAAACACCTGAAGTTCCCATCCGTAAGAAAAGTAAATGCTTTGCCACATTTATTATTCATTGTCATTTTTTACACATCATTGGTCCCTTTTTACGTTATTTTTTTGTTCTTCTCATCCATTTGAAAGTTCATTTTCCTTCTTCACATTTATTAGTGGAAGCCAAAGGACGGTAGTAAGCATATTGAAGAACGTGAATGTATTTTGGGATGGTCTTCCCTTTATTAAACATTGTAAGGAGGATTGTTGTTATCACAAATTAATAGACTAGCTCTCATAATCATTCTTGATATGGGTCTAATGTTCAAGATTCATTCCAATTCTATCCTTAGTCTCCTTACTGTTTGGATTAAAGATAAAGCTCCTAAAATGTCTTTTCTATGACCAAATATATTTTTTAATTAAAAAACTTTCCAGTAAGCCTGTAAGATGGTAGAAAATTATTGTCGTGCGTAGAAAATTTGATCACAGCATTTGAAATGTGTAAGCAAGTCGCGTTTTTCTACCACATTTTATACCCGCCGTCGTTGACTAAAGGTTGTGACAGTTTTATTGTGACAGCTTATAAAAATGGTAACAAGTGCGCACTAAAAGTTTATTCAAGTACATTTCTTATTGCCTTGTTCATAAATGACACATTAATATTGATAAAGTATTAAGCTATCAAATTTCGATTTTCAGTTCCATAAAATACATTTTTTTTAATGCATACTTTTTATTCTAATTTGAAATGAGTTTTGTTTTTGGAAGTTGTTTTGAATTATGAGATAAATTTTTATTAGGAACTTTCCTGGTTTATTGCGAAGTGAGATCACTTCTGCAGATTACTGTCTGTTGTATTTGAGTTTTTATTATTTTTTTCAAAAGATTGCAGATTTCCAATTCAATCAGTCCTTAAACTACGCTACTGACTAAAGAGCACTTGATTTTTTTTTAAAAAAAAAAGAGAATTCAGCTTTGTAATATTGTCACTCCCTACAAGTTAAAATATAGATAACTTTTGTTCCTAATACTCAAATTATAAACATTTTGTCATACTTACATGCTCAATATTAGCCGACTGACCAATTTTTGTTGATGCCGGTAGAGTGGAACAAAAGAAGAGCATCATAGTTGAAATCTTACAAGGAAAAAAATTGACAATAATCACAATGATTTATTTTTAAAAAACTATGAATATTTAAGTAGTAAAAATGGCTTCTTTCATTCCATTAATTAACACAAATTTCTAATTCTGCAATAAATCATAAAAATTGCATATATTCAAGTATTTAATTGCGTGCAAATACGGCTTTTTTTATCTTCACTCTAATCACGTTATATAACTTTAGCCCGTATACATCAAGTACGACCTCGATTAACCAAGTATGGAGAGAGTTAGGCGAAAGATTTTGATTGTTTACAAAACACAATGATGATGCACATTTAAAGACATAATAAAATTGTGTCCATGACTTTTCAACGTGTTAAATGTTTCGAAATTTGCGGATTATTAATTTCATTTACAAACTATAGCATCAAGGGAAATGTTCAAAAAAAATTAAAAATTTGAACTTTTGTTTGATTTGAATCTTTTTGAGTTTTTATTTGAAAACATTTAAAGCTGAATAATCGTCTACTTAAGAAGAAGTGCAAGCTGCATGTGAAGACTTTTTTGATTGTGAAAAGAGAAATCAAGTCACACACTAATTTAAAAAAAACAATGAAACAATCTAGCAATATTAAAATCAAGTAATTTGATCCCACAAAATAAACATACAATAAAAAAATTAAAATACGCAGTAATTTTGTTATAGCTATAGATTCTTAATCTGATTGTATTAATAAATTTATTAATAGCTTTTTAATAATTTTAAAACATAATTTTAAACTCTCATCAAGTCTTAAGATTTATATTAAGCACATGTGAGAATAGCATGTTAATGTTAATCAGGTAATACATAGTTCTATATTTATAGCTTTACAATATGTATCATAATGTCACTAATATCAAATATCACATTTGTATTCTATCCATAAATGACTTAGTTAACTTTCATCCAAATTTGAATCATATTTAGTGATGTTTAAAATGATGTCTTTTTCTTATTGTCGATGCTTATTGGCATTAAAATTAAATTGTACTTTGTTCATCTTCCGGCTAAAACAGCAATTGCTGCAGCACTGATCTTTTCATCGCTTTCTTTTTTCATTGAATTTCTCGCAAAACGCGCTCCATACTTTCGTGTTGTTGTTCTTATTATTTCCTTTTTCTGATCAAACCATCCAAAGATTTTACTGAAAAATCCTTTCTTGCCTTTTTTGCCTTTCTTTGAATGTGATGGTGATGGAGTTCTTTTGCCACTTTCACTGTCACTTTCTTTTTCAATTTTGTCAATTTCTGAATTTTTGGTCTTCTTAATCTTCTGTTTTTTATCCCTCTGTGGTTGTTCTGGATCACTACCCATACTTGATGTGTCAGAATCTTCAATTCTATCATCTTTAATTTCATATTTACGAACTACATTTCCATCACTATCAATAACTTTATCTTCTTTTTGAACGAGCTTTGTTTTATTTGAGAAAATTTTTTCGTTCTTTCTTCCCATTTTGTTCTTTTTTGTTCTTTTCTTTTATCAATTTAGCACACAATAATAATTCAATTTACAAGTAACTTCTTGCTTCTTCGGCAACAAAATATAAACTGAACTCAAATCCTCTCTCAACCTGCTTATAAAAAGCAATGTTAAACTCTCGCGGGAAAAACCAGTTTCTTCATTGATGGATCTTGTGTTAACCGCTGACATAACTTGAATTAAAATGAGAGGAAACCCAAAAATGATCGCTCTTTCTGAATTGTGATATAAAGGTAGATATTCTCATATTTTTGACTAAAGTGTGCTGAATTAATTTTGAAACTGGATAAAGTTTTTTTTCGAAAAAAATCCAAGTAATTAACGGAACCAAATTGAGGAAAAAACTTAAATAAAATGGTTTTTCAAAAATTTAATAGCGGGAAATGTTCAATACGGATAAAAATCTTTTGTTCGAAATATAATTTACTATCAATATCGAAATAATCAGAATGATGAACTTTATTTTAATAAAGATTTTTGATTGATAAAATATTCTTAACTTTGTGGTTTACATGTTTGTTTGTTTTTAAAATTAAAAATTAATCAAGAACAATGCAAACATTTTCCCACAAATGCTTCGCATATAAATTGCATATTTCTTTAAATTTTTTCGCAGAAATTTTATAAGAATAGTTTATTCGAGAACTCTAAACAATATAATTTGGAAGTTCAATCGGATTTCGGATTTTTTATAGACTCTATAAATTCAATATGACTGTAATGAGCTTTTTTGTGTAGCTCGAGAACATAGATTCGTTGGATTCTTTTTCAAAATATATCAACTTTAACAATAAATAACTCTCATCTTTAAAAACTTTCACTTTTGTATCCATAAGTACTAATATCATAATTGACAATAAAAACATTAAATTAAAGTTTCCGTATAAAATGCAACCACTCAAATTTAATCATAGTTGTTAATCTTACAATCATGAAACTCAGTTTATTATCAGGAATTTTTTTTTCCAAATTTCAGATGCATGTGCTAATTGATTTTCAATTTTGTTGATATTTTTCCTGAAAAAAATAATTTAATAATCATGATTGACTATAAAGTAACTTCTCAAACTAAAAGATCTAGATCTAAACTTGATATTTCTTGTATTATCAAGTATAGATCTAGCTTCTTCTCTAGGGAAAGAGGTTAAGAATAGAATTTTTGATTACTCCCCTTCTAGAAGCTTCTTTAAACTTCTTTAATTTGAAAATTGTTATTATAATTCGAATACAACTACAAGTGTGAATAATTTAAGTTCTTAAGAAATATATTAGTTGTCCAAATAATAAATAAAATCAACTTACCTACATCAAGAATTTATTAGAAAACCCCGCAATGATTAGTATTCGGTAAATATGACACAGTACTTTATGACGGTTCTTTGAATCAAATTAATATTCATCAAGCATTCAGTCGATTTTAAAATAAACAACAAATTTGATTAACAAGCTTGAAAATAAAATTAACCTTTGATTTTATGTAAATGTTAAAATTCGTCTAATCAATGATATATTATTTTGACATATCTATAAAGTCAAATCAGCTACATAAATTTAAACAAAATCTGGGAAAATTTTCAAAATACGGGTTTTTTTTCTTGGAATATTAAGCGATAAGACAAATGGATAACTAATGATATAAAGTTCTTAACACGAAAATTAACACGACTTAAACCGACAGAAACTACAAATTTTATCACAATTCACAAGTTTAATAAAAATTCCTGATTTTTAATTAACTTAACACTTCAAAAAAATTCTTAACTGTAACAATACAGAACAAAATGAATAAATTGAACAAAAGATAAAGAAGAACAACTTATCACGAAGACTTAAATTGCATTATCAATTTATTTTAAACTTTTTCAATGACAAATCCAACAAACTTCCATCCATTTAACATCCAAGAGAGAGAAATAAGAATTCTTCCAAGTGAAAAAGCAAATAAAATTAATGTCATTTCTTACTCCATCTACATGCTTTCTTCTGTAACTTATCGAATGCCAATTTACTTCTTTTTTTATTGTGTAGTTTGCAGATATAAAAAAAGGACAAAAGAAAACAAAACAAAAAAGCTAAAAGGGTTTGTTTATCAATGATTTTCATTTAAAATGAAGTTTTTGGGATTCTGGACGAAGTAACGGAGATTCTTGTCATCATGGAGAAAAGTTATGATGCCAAAATATAGGTTTTTGAGGGTATTGAATCCATAATCCATTCTATGCATTACCAATTGAAATTTAACTTCTTACCAACATTTCATCCCTCATCCTAACCTCCACTTTAGTATTCGACATAAATAAACCTCAACCCTCAAATCAAAATCATTTTTAAAGTTTTAAAGAATCATTCTACACACAAAATAAAGAAACTTATCGTCCTTACTTCATTTACAACAACAATAAAGCAATAAGAAGAAAAAAAATGAAGAATTTGCAGCGGCATTAAGAGATCATGCTCCTTGATTACTTGATAAATGTGACACCTTAAGCATAAGTAAACAGATGTGTATGAGTCAAACTACATTATAGAATGTAGACACAAGAATTACATTGGAATGAGAATGTAAGCAAATTTTCGGAGATGTCAAGAAAGTAGACACAAATGATGTATTTGTAAGGCATGAGTTCAGCTTATTTTCTACTTTTCCTCATTTTGTTTGCTTATCGGATTAACGTTGTTGTTTTGCCTTATTTTGTACTTATTTCTTAACATTGCGATGAGCATAAAAGGAAAGTGTTTGGAATTCCGAAAAACCCTGACATCATTGCTTCAATTTTTTGTAAGACGACGTCGAATTTCTTCTTTTGGATTTTCGCAGATTTAAGTCTTGATGCTCTTTTTTGGGGAAGTATTCGACGTAGACAATCCGTTATTTCTGTTGTTTAGAGAAAATTGAGATTTGTCTTTTTTTTATTGCAAAAATTCAGATCATCCCAAAATATTGAAAACATCAGAGTTGGGAATTCTCGAAAGCAGTTGATATCTTTACAATCATCATAGATCAGTAATTTGATCATAAAAGCTGCAAAAACCTTTAAACAACTTCAAGATATCACAAAAATGCATTTAAATCAGTGTAAAACCCAACCTTTTTAATAATAACCATGACTTTCATAATTGAGCCCAACAATCTCAGTACAAATAAAATTAATATTTTCATCTCTGAATCGTGCTTAGCACAAACTTTAAAATTCAAAAAATGATATTTTATTTATATGGCGTGTACGACGTATTTCCCCAAGAAAACATAAATGTCTCTCACGTTTATGGATATCGTTCTATATCAAAAATTTCATTTTTGATAAAGCACAAAAAGAATTTGGACGTCAAACAATGAGATTACAAAAAAACGTATGGAGGCTTGTTCCTAATCTGATTTTAGATTACGTATAAAGATTTAAAAACTATCAAATATGACGAGCAGTGATTGAGCGAATGTCAGAAATTAGCATATGCAATATTTACGCAAGTGATTCATACCAAAAATAGTGAAGCTTTTATGAATGGCTGACTTCTGTTTTCAGGTGTTAATGATATGTAATAAATGTTTGGAATTTTTGAATCAGCCTGATGTAATGTCAGATAAATCTTTGTCTTTTTTGATAACTTGTTATATGAAATTCTTAGAAGCTTGTGTATTTGGAGCTGTTTAAGAAATTTGATTGTAATCGTAGATTATAAAGCGAACTTAGAACTAGAATTGAACATGTAAGAATTTACAATCAAAAGCTTGAACGTAAGAATCTAAAAAAGATTCAAGTTTAACTAGATATTTTAGCTCAGCTTGCTAAATTTGAAATTGGATCTTGTGGAATTTTTGAGTATTAATAATTTTTGTGTATGTCCCCCACGCTTGTTCGATATCTTTAAATTATATTTAAAGCTACTAGTCTTAACTGCTGTTAAGTATGAAATTTAAAAATGTTTACAATCGAGACAATCAATAAAGATCTTACATTATTTTATGACAGTTCAAGGTTGTAACAGGAGTTATTCATTGCTTCTCGAATCGAATACTTCAAAAAACCATTTAAGTTTAGAATTTTAAATAAAATTCATTCTTATAATTTTGAAATCTGGTTTTCAGATTATTTAAAAAATCCAGGAAATCTTCAGTTTCATATTAAAAACGTGAGTTTGTTTTGATTTCTACTGTTAATGCCATATGCCGGTAAACAAGCTAGTCACATGCTGAAAATCCGGTTTTATTCCGGTAAATATTACGATACAACAAACTTCCTGCCAAACAATCGTATCGAAAATATCAAAACAAAACATGTGCAGCTCATATTAAAAAATGGAACAAATTCAAAACAAGATTCAATCTTATAAATTCTATCTTAAATCCAATATTTATTCTAAACATTTATTAAACTCTAACAGAATTTCCTTATCCTAAAAATGAAGCATCAAAAGAATTCAAAAAAAACACAATTTTTACATCAACCGTGAAAAATTTTCTAACCGAGAAGCAATAGAAGAAGGGAAAAAAAGATAAATATACTTCGATTCATTCTTCATCAGCTGCTTTGTCAACATTCGATGTCGTGTTACACTTGATGAAGCAGAAAATACATCAATACATTTTCAATATTGCAAACATTCATTGCCATTTTTCTTCCTTTTATATATTTTTTTCCGTGAAATTTTCTTTTCTATTTTCTCTGTGTTTATGTGTCTCATAGCTTCTCATATTCATGAGACATATTATTTATAGAAAGAAGATTTTCTTAGGAAAAAAAAGTATGAAATATTGTCTCGTGGGTCAATAAAGCATGGAGCGTATGAAGTTCTGTTTTCACAATTTAATGCCATTTTTGAAAAAACAAAGAACTTTTTGGAATTGAATTTAATTTTTTATAGGTCAATGAAAGTTCATTGGAGTATGTGTTCGTCTGTCTAAATGTTTAACTTTGAAATGAAATGCCTCAGAGGATAAATTATGAATGTTTATTTTCTAGAGCTGTTTACTCATGCTGTGGATGGAGTTGAGTCAGTTATTAGAGTCAAACATTCGATGATGTAGGGGATTTATGTGACTAATAGACTGTTA